GGGACTTCACGGAGACCGGGAGATTAGCAGAACTCGCTTATATTTGGGCATCGTCTGGTCCTCTCGGTTCTGCGCAGTGGACGAGCTCCCATGATGCATTGCGCCAAATAGGAGTGTGTGGCTTTCATGCATGCGCACAGAGGGGCTCGGCTACGCTCTGACCAATCAGAGCAGCAGAGCTGAGTCAGAGCGGGAAGGAAAGGAGCAGAGTTTGTGACAGTAAAGTGTGGATTTAAAGAAAACAGAAGGATTTAAGAAGAAAAAAAGTTCAGGATGACAAGGGACACTAAAATCCCCACAAAATCCAACCCTGTAGGTTCTCTGTCAGCTGAGGTCGAGCTGTTTTAATTTACATTAAGTTCTATGGGACTTTTTTCTGGGTAGCCCACGTGATTTTAGTTTGCAGTTCCACGGGCGCCCCCTGTGCCCTTGGGTGGGACAGCACTAAGCTAGTAATACCCTATCCAGTTATTATTATAGATCCATGGATCTGAGGCCGATCCAGGACCTTTAAATGCTTCAATGCCAGGGCAATGTCTTTAGGTTATTGCTTATTGGCTGTCACTGGTGGAAGAAGGTTTTTGCCTAATCCTTTCCTTAATACAGATCAGCGGTCCTATCCCCTCTGCATAAAAGCAGCCCCAAACCATCATGTGTCCACCCCCTTGCTTTATTGTGGGTATATAAACTCTTTTCTGAAGCTAGCTAATGTCCAGACATTTCTAAAGTATTCCATAGACCATCTGAGAACCAGGAGAACATAGTCAGACCAAAATAGAACTGTTTGGTAATAATTCTAGTAGTCATTGGAGGGGGAAGAATACTGAGCTACAGTACATCGAAAAAGACATTTGAGGGAAACTGAAACAGAAATCCCACTGTGCTTGGAGCCTAGTTCTATAAGACTTGACTTACCTTTCCAATTAGCAGTCAAAATAAAATAAAATTAAGAGAAATACTCCCTTAATTATACTCCTATAAACATGTGCAGTTATCCTTGTATTTCTAAGCCTGTGACAAAGCTCTAACCAAAGGAATAGCGATGTGTTTGTGAAGGAAATAATGTTTTATCAATAATTTTAGTCTTTGCGATTGGGCAATTGTAAAAATTGGTTTGGAGAGTTCGAGAACACCAGCCAAAGCTCAACACTGCTAAACACAGTTCATAAATCTTGCTGTATCAATTACAGGTCTTCCTCCCCATCGATCAAACCAGTGGGATCTGAGGGCTCCTAAGGGTCTCCCAGGGGTCTCCCAGGGTCACCCACCACCACGGCCTGGGACCTTTGATCTGTAGCGGTGACATGTTATGGATGAAGCTCTCGCTCTCAAGGGAAAAGGCAACGATAGAAGTAAGTGGACCGCAACATAACAGCACATCAGCAATTTCTACTGGATCATTTTTAAGCTGGGTTACGTCATTTTAAAGATGTTTTTATATCAGTCCATGCTAATATCAACAACAGGCACAAACATGTAGCTCCGGCCTTTCTGTCAAAAAGCTCCTGTCTCAGTCCTGTAATAGTATGAGGTCATTGTACCGCTATGACATCACATTCAGTTTTCTGTCTTTTAAAAAGTATTGCACCTAAATTAGTGTGTTCTCAATTGAAATTATATACTTTAAGAGAAATATAAAGAGAAATTCCAGTGTTGCATCACCAGTTACAGAACAGTAGGAATGAGGAGCACATAAAAGAACAATAACTCTAGACCTAAAATCTTAAAACTAAAATACTACTATCAATTGTTTAAAAAAAATTATATAGTAAAAAAAACAAAGGCAAAAAAGAATAGTTACAGGCGGAATCATTTTTAACCATCTATTTTCTACTGATATTTTATTTCACATTTTAAAACATGACAAAGTAAACTGCCTCAAGATCATATTTAACAACCAAAATTAATCCATAATATTTCTTCTCAACAGAAAGACTCTTGTAAAAGTAAAATGCTGTCTTCCTTTCAATATAAAACACATTATCTTTTGTGTAAGAAAGAGCCCTTTGAGTCACTATTTGACTCTTTGGGCTGGGAGCTGATTGGCTGAGTGAGGGTGGTCCTCTCTTTACTATCCATCCATCCATCCATTTTCTTCCGCTTTATCCGTTGCCGGGTCGCGGGGGCAGCAGTCTAAGCAGAGACGCCCAGACTTCCCTATCCACACACACCTCCTCCAGCTCGTCCGGGGGGACCCCAAGGCGTTCCCAGGCCAGCTGAGAGACATAGTCTCTCCAGCGTGTCCTGGGTCTTCCCCGGGGCCTCGACAATGAGAACCTCTCTTTACTAGTGACAGATTTTTTACCTCAGCCTTTTTTGAGGTTTGAAGGTTAGGTACCCCAGCTTTAAAGTGTTCTCAAGTGCAAGAAAGAGCAATAACATAGAAATGGCTACAAATATAAGTTAACAAAGATCAATTTACTAGACTGGACTCCTCACTACAGCCAAACTTCCTACGGTCAGGCATAGGTTTAAGTTCCTCAAATCGTGTTAGATATATCTATCTCTCTCTATATATATATATACATTATTCTGAAAGGATGTCTGAATAATATTAAAGTTGTTTAAACCTTAGTCAGAATCTCAATGTAAATTGTCTAGCTCAGTGGTTCTCAAACTTTTTACACCAAGTACCACATCAGAAAATACTTGCCTCCCCAAGTACCACCATAAAAGACCAAGTATTCATCACAAACAAGGCAGAGGTTTAATTCCTTTAGAAGTATATCTAATATTGTCAGCCATTGTAACATTTTACACAGTTTCAACAGTACTTAAATAATAATTCAATTTTAATGTTCAATTCATTACGAACTGCTAAGCCTTGACTCATCACTATGAATTATAGTCTAGAGTGGGATGGCCTTCTTTGTCCACCAGAGGGTTTGGACACTGGTGCACTTTTGTTTATAAGGCTTGGTCTGCCGCCCTCTTACATCTGCCATTTACTCACACAAAGAGATGTTGGTTCATATGGTTTGGATCAATGATCTTCTGTTGCTCTCGGTTCCTTTTGCCCGCACAGAACTGGGGGAAAAAAAGCTTTTGTATTTGCTGCTCCTTCTGCGTGGAACGTGTTGCAAAAAGACTGGAAATTGTCTGAACTTATTTCATTGAATGTTTTTAGATCCAGATTGAGAGCACTTGCGGCATCCTCAATGAAATTTAACTGTTTTTATAATCCTTGATTTTATGAAATTGTATGTGACTGTTTTTATAATCTGTAATTGTATGTAATTTTTGTCCAGGACTCCCTTGAAAAAGAAGTTGTTAATCTTAATGGGACTTTCATGGTTAAATATTTTTTTGTTATATATTTTGTTTTATTTAATTTCAGTGATTCTTTGGGGTACCACGGGAGCTTAAAGCAACCAGCCCACATCTGTCCTCTTCATGTTTCCTTTGAGTGCCTTGCTCACTGGTCCATGTCCTCTGTGTATATCTGCTTGTTCTGGAGCCATGGGGGCCCACTGGAGCTCTTGTTTTCCCCTCGCAATCGATGCTGCGTTGGGGGCCGAGACGATAAGGACTTCCCCCTCCCCGAGCCATGTCCCCTGGTCGTGTGGAGGAGTGGATCAATGTTGTCCTAATCATCCCACTGGGGCAAGATCCAGAGCAACAGCTATGTCCAAATGATGAGGAGAAGGAGGCGCGAGTTTAAAGGCATAGACGCAAGGACAAGAGTGGGAAAGGTTGGCGTGTTGTTAAGAACCGTGCTGGCTTTTCACCACAGGGAAGATAGGCATGTGTGGGAATAAAAAAAAGGAAAAAGAACAAATCACTTTCAAAATAAGTCTTCTAAAGTCCCAAAGCGAGTACCCAGGACCAAAATGAGAGAGAGAGAGACTAGATTAACCAGAAAAAGAGACCAGAAATCAGAGAGAGATGTGAGACCAGACAAAGACTGGAGTGACCAAAGAAAGATCAGGGACAGAGACAGACCAGAGAGAGGGACCAAAGAGAGCTACAGACCTAAGAGAGGGACCAGAGAGAGACCAGAGAGAGAGACCAGAGAGACCAGAGGGAGACCAGAGAGAGCGACCAAAGAGAGAACAGAGAGAGACCAGAGAGAGAAACCAGAGAAAATCACATTATAATGGACAACAGCAAATTCCAAATGGAGCGATAAACGTTTTCAAATATTTGTATAACTTTATAAAGGAAAGAGCAGTGAGTGCAACAGCCCTGATGGTGAGAGCTCCACTCACCCAAACACAGCTCCATGGCTCGTTGCACAACATTCTGCAAAGTACTGTCCCTTGTGAGAATTGTCTGTAGTTTCAAAACCATCTTTCCCTAACCAAGACATAAGCAACGACAGAGAAAAGAGTGTCTTGTGTCTAAAATAGAGCTATATTGGGCTGGTTCTCTGTGGGTTTGTCGCAGAGTCTTTTTGACACACCAGCCATGAATCTAAAAGGTTCTTGGGTTAATCTCGGTATGAAAAGCCAAGCATTTTTGCAACTTTGTGGAAATATAAAAGTGAGGACGGTCTCCATCTGTGCAGCTGTGAACAAATGATTTCTATAACTCACGTAATTTTCTCACATTCACAAAGTGTTGATTAGTCCACGCTGCTGCTATGGCTTTTTAGAAGCACCCATGAGTTTCCTCCTCTACTCAATAATTACGATTGCACATGTGTTTAAGAGTTGAAACTCACATAGACATTCAAACTCTGCTCAGGAAGGTCCAGTGCCGAGCGGAATTCGTACCCAGTACTTTGTTAAGTTGTGAAGTGAGAGTGCTTACCAGGGCCACCCAATATAGGACGATATGTTTATGTGTTTGTTTATTTATATCAGTGTCTCTGTTTTTAATACTTTTCATTTTCAATAAAGTAGTTGTAGTAGTAGCTGTAGCAGTAGCAGTAGTAGTAGTAGCAGCTGTAGCAGTAGCAGTAGCTGTAGAAGTAGTAGTAGTAGCTGTAGCAGTAATAGTAGTACCTGTAGCTGTCGCAGTAGTAGTTATAGAGTATTTATTTGATTTCCGTTGCTTACTTCCTTTGAGCGTGGCCTCATTGACTTCAATCTCTCCATGGCCCAGTTCCTGGTCCTGGTGCTGGTGCTGGTCCTGGTCCTGGTAGTACTGCACTTGGGGGTAGTACTGGCCCGTATCGGATCCTGGAGCTGGACTGGAGCTGGAGTAACCGTTGTTCCAGGACTCTCTGGGACTGTCCGAGCGCTGCCGTTCCATCTCAAACACAGCCACCAACTGGACACACAGGGAACGACCACTTTACATTTTTTTATGGAACATTTTTTATATTGACTTTATGTCATGAGAGAATTCTGGACCAACCAAAAATTCGAACTCCATTTTATTATAAAACATACATTTTGTATACGTCTCTATCCCACTCTGGGTCTCTATCCCACTCTGGGTCTCTATCCCACTCTGGGTCTCTATCCCACTCTGGGTCTCTATCCCACTCTGGGTCTCTATCCCACTCTGGGTCTCTATCCCACTCTGGGTCTCTATCCCACTCTGGGTCTCTATCCCACTCTGGGTCTCTATCCCACTCTGGGTCTCTATCCCACTCTGGTCTCTCTCTCTCGGTCTCTCCCTCTCTATCTCTCTCTGGTCTCTCTCTCTCTCTGGTCTCTCTCTCTCTCTCTGGCCTCTCACCGGTGTCTCTCTCTCCAGTCTCTCCCTCTCTCTCTGGTCTCTCTCTCTCTGGCCTCTCTCTCTTTCCCTCTCTCTCTCTCTCTCTAGTCTCTCTTGGGCTGAGAGCTGATTAGCTGAGTGATGGGGTACTCTCTTTTTCCCTTCTGTCTGAAAAAAGCTGATCTAAAGATGTAACAGAGGCCAATGATAAAGTGATAAAATCGTTTTGAGAACTGGTGAGAAGTTACTGTATGTACTCCAGCTTTTACAATAATTATACCATTTCTTTAGACTTCAGTCACCAACACATGGATAAACGAAACAAACACTACAGTTTGAAGCCAAGATTAACAACTTGCATTTAATACTGACTCGTCGACTAGTCCACTGTTCCCCTTGATAAGACAAAGCACCTCCAGACCTTTCCAAGATGGCCGCCTCTGCTGTCACAACACTGTCAAGGTGCGTGCTTCTAAAATGATCAGATTTGACACCGGGATGAGAAAATGTCCGACGCAATAACGGCTGAGCTGCAACGAGCGTCCAGGGAAGGCAAATTAATCAGGAAGGCTATGATAGTTGTAATTAGGCTGTGGAAGCGGAAGGCCGTAGAAGAGTACACAGGCCATTGTCTCCGGAGATAAGCGGATAAGGTTTGATTACGTGTCAAGGCTGAAGGAAATTACCACTCAACCGACGGCAATGGGGACATGAGGAGGCAAATTTGACAGGAGACGAGTGCGAGGAGTCAATTAACAACAGGCTCACGGGTGTCTATGTTTAAACAGTCAAAACATTTACATTTGCTCAACTGGAAGTGGATAGCAACATCAAACTTTAACAATGACAAAGTTGAAAGTCGCTTTTGGCTAGCTGGTCTCAATCTTTGGTTTTCTCTTTCCAGTCCGTCCCTCTCTCCAGTCTTTCCGGTCTCTCTCTCCGGTCTCTCTCTCTGGTTTCTCAGGTCTCTCCCTCTCTCTTATCTCCCATTCTCTGATCTCTCTCTCTCTCTTTTCTCTATCTCTCTGGTCTCTCTCTCTGTCTTTTATCTATCTCTCTGGTCTCTCTCCCTCACTGGTCTCTCTCCCTCTCTGGTCTCTCTCCCTCTCTGGTCTCTCTCCCTCTCTGGTCTCTCTCCCTCTCTGGTCTCTCTCCCTCTAGTCTTTCTTTCCCTGTTCTCGCTCTGACCTATTTCTAGTCTCTCACCCAACACGACTGAGAACTGTATAAGTTGATCATCTTTTCCTTTTTCGCAGCTATACTTTCTACCTCCACATTATTAGTGATTGCTACATCACGCACGCATCCATCTAATTTCACAGTTATGGCAGGAAACATTGACAAAAAGAAATCTCTCTCCCTCAGAAATATGCTGAACGGGTGTTTAGAAGAACGATCTCTACCTCCTTCGATGCCGTGATGTCCTGATGACACTGGCCACTATGCAAAGCAGCTCCAAAAGAGACAGAAAAATAATCAGATTTGAACTGATGGATGCGCTCCTCCTGCTTATCTCCGCCGGCTTATCTGGAGCCAGGAGACGAGCGGACTGCCTCCACGCAAAGGCAAAGAAAGAAATGATTTATATTTCAGGAAAAAAAAACTGCTTTTGTTGAATGAAAAGTGCAAGAAGTTCAGTGGAAGATTAGATCGACAGTAAAACAGGTGAAAACTGGTTCTAAGTCAGGACACAACCAGACTGAAGGAAAGTGAAGGTGTTTTAACTGCTCTCTCACGCGAGTCTCTCACGCGAGTCTCTCACGCGAGTCTCCCACGCGAGTCTCCCACGCGAGTCTCCCACTCTAGTCTCCCACTCTAGTCTCCCACGCGAGTCTCCCACTCTAGTCTCCCACTCTAGTCTCCCACTCTAGTCTCCCACTCTAGTCTCCCACTCTAGTCTCCCACTCTAGTCTCCCACTCTAGTCTCCCACTCTAGTCTCCCACTCTAGTCTCCCACTCTAGTCTCCCACTCTAGTCTCCCACTCTAGTCTCCCACTCTAGTCTCCCACTCTAGTCTCCCACTCTAGTCTCCCACTCTAGTCTCCCACTCTAGTCTCCCACTCTAGTCTCCCACTCTAGTCTCCCACTCTAGTCTCCCACTCTAGTCCCAGTCGGTACAGGGCCTTTCTGATTGGAGTTTGCATGTTCTCCCCGTGTCTGCGTAGGTTTCCTCCGGGTACTCCGGTTTCCCATACAACACTAAAAACATGTACAATAGGTCTGGCATGCACCTCCTCTACTGGCGACCTCGCTCACTTCTCTCTGTGAAGTGAGAGATAAATGCCCACAACAATTGTAAACCGCTTTGTGACTCTGGTCTGTGAAAGGCGGTATATAGATTAAGATTACTTACTTACTTACCCACTCTCTGGTCTCCCCCTTGGTTTCAACTGGACAAGACTGTCAAAGACGGTATTTCTGACTACCGTGTTTGGAGTGAATGAATAATGACAGTCTTTGAGTGTCCAAAAAAGCGCTATGTAAAACCGATGCATTATTATTATTATTATGCAAATTCAGTTTTTGAGAGTCACGCAGAGAAAGGAGCTGATGAAGGTTGCCCCCTCGGGCTTTAAAAATGTCATAATCAAGACATTTAATTACTTATTCTTTATGCCAGAGACACTCACACATGTCACACTATTTAGGGATTTTAAATCATGAAGCCAAACTTCATGATTGTAGTACTGTAGTACATGTAGTAAGTAAGTAAGCAAGTAAGTAAGCTTTTATTTATATACCGCCTTTTCACTGCACATCGGAGTCTCAAAGCGGTTTACAATTGTTATTTTTTTGGGAGTGGGGGTGCCAGTACAGGAGGCACATGCCATACCTATTGTACATATTTTTAGTGGTAGGGGAAACCGGAGCACCCGGAGGAAACCTACGCAGACACGGGGAGAACATGCAAACTCCACTCAGAAAGGCCCTGGTCCAACCGGGATTTGAACCCAGGACCTTCTTGCTGAGAGGCGAGAGTGCTATCCACTCAGCCACCGTGCCGCCCATGTAGCACTACAATAAGCCATGAATATAGAGGTAACCAGAGAGAAAGAGATCAGAAAGACACAACAGAAAGACAGACCAGAGATAGACCAGATAGTGAGAGACCAGGTAAAATAGCTCTTCTCTCTGCTTTCAGTCATGTCCAGAACACCTATGGACTTTGAAACGGAAATAAAGCAACCTCTTTATCTATAGACCTTGTATACACAAAAATATTTTTTAGCCCACTTATCTTTTAATAACACTGTCACAAGTCATTCTTGAGATCGTGCTACTGTGTACAACCTAGACAAAGTATTTGTAACAGTAAATAAAAGGTCAGTGGTTCCCAAATGTACTGCCCTGTGTATACCCTCAGCAGTATGGTCAGACGAGAGAACCCCCTTAAAAGCCTCATTCCCACTGCGCAAAACCACAGGATTTCTGGCTTCTCTTTCTCTCTCTCTGGCCTTATTCATTTCCCAATTGGACTTAATTGAGCTAGCGTGTTACATTGTAAATCTATATATATGCATCTGTATGATAATGCACAGGTTACAGAGGTGTAAAATTAGCAGCGTGGGCATGTAGCGTTGACTTTAAACAATGATATCAGTGAAGCGCAGGTCTCGTGGCACTGACGGCCCACAGATGCAGCGGTGGGAAAGCTGCTGACGGCGGACGGGTGCTGACGAGGGTCAAAATAAGGTGAGAAAATATGTGTCAGCATCAGCCGGAAAAACGCTGATGCTGACGTTCATGACAGGACTAATGCAGGAGGAAGGAGCGGGCCTGCTTTGGATCGAGGGGAGCTTTTGCAAGAAAATATATGTAATAGTATTTCTTCTCGATTACATACAGTACAAGTGGCCAAATAGGTTTTAAGAAGAACTATCATGAGACTGCTTACTTTGTCATTTGATGTTTTTGAACGTGAAATAATATATTCAAGAGAAAATACATGATGAAACATGAGTGAAGCCTGTAACTCCCTATACTATACCACCAGAGGAAGGAGTTTAATTAGTTTGTTTTTTCCACATATTATCAAAATTGAGAATGTAATATCCGGTCTCTGCCCCAGTCTCTGCCCCAGTCTCTGCCCCAGTCTCTGCTTTAGTCCTTGTTGGCCCATGAAATACCAACAATAGCTGCATATGAGACCTGAACATTTTTACACCAAAAAACAACTCTCACTCAAACCCAGTCACGTTCTGAATCCCCGGCTTTCACAACACAGCACTAGCATAACCGCGGCTATTTGTACAGCAGCGCGCCAGTGTGTTTGCCTGCGCTATGCTAATCAGACAACAGGGTCGTATTATTCAAGCACCGGTTGACACGCGCCTGCCTGAGGTCCATATCAATTTCCCTCTTGGAGAGCGCTGGAAAAATAAGGCCATTTGTCTCCCAGAATGCTAATGCGAATCAGGAGAGGCTAAACCTCGGCTAGCGTCGCTCAGGCAAGGCTAACCCCGGCTCTGCCAAATGCAAAAGACTGGATTAATATTGCCCGCGTGGAGGTTTCAATGAATAAATGCAGGGGAAGTTGTTCGAGCAAGGCAAACGGTAAGAGATTTGATCAAAGGGTGAATAAGGAAGGACTAAATAAGGACTTAAAGCTGGGGTATGTAACTTTCAAATCACACAAGAAATACATTTAACTACATTCTCTGCTGTTGACAAAGAGAGGACCACCCTCACTCAGCCAATCAGCTCTCAGCCCAAAGTGTAATGATGATAAGATGAAGACAGCCTGTTGTGGTCTGATTTGTTCACAACATGTTACTTACAAGACTTACTTTCTGTTGGGCTAGTACTAAACCATGACTAAATCAGGACTACAGGACAACTAAAACAGGACTAGAGCAGGACTATAGCAGGACTAGAGCAGGACTATAGCAGGACTAGAGGACTAGAGGAGGACTAGAGGAGGACTAGAGGAGGACTAGAGGAGGACTAAAGCAGGACTAAAACTAAAGCAGGACTAAAGCAGGACTAGAGCAGGACTAGAGCAGGACTACAGGAGGCCGAAAAAACTGGAGCAGGACTAAAGTATGACTAAATCAGGACTAGGGCTGGACTAGAGTAGGACTAGAGCTGGACTCAACCAGGACTAAAGTAGGACTAAACTATGACTAAACCTGGACCAAACCGGGACTAAACATCCCCAGACAAAACCACACACAAGACCATCCAATTCAAATGCTTTTCTTGCTGCTTTGACGACACCACATTGAGAGGAGAGCGTCTCCTTATCTCCCACTTCACTCATTGTGGTTCCTGCTCCAATGGCCTGAAGCTCGCTGAATGTTTTCTCGTCCAAAGACAAAGTCCAAAGACAAACGCTCCAATTCATCACACAAAAACCTGTCCTGGTGTAGCCTCTGTGCTCGCCGCCTGTGACCTTGTATTGATCTGCTGTTTCTCAGACTACTAATATATGCCCATCAATTTCACGAAATCCATTGGAGAGAAAACAGTTTTAGAGTAGCCTTGATTCAAACATGGCCACTTTTCAGGATTTGTTATTGGTTTAGAAGTGGTTTCCGTTCACGTTAATATCTCTGGCCCCTAGCCTCTGGCCCCTAGCCTCTGGCCCCTAGCCTCTGGCCCCTAGCCTCTGGCCCCTAGCCTCTGGCCCCTAGCCTCTGGCCTCCAGTCTCATGGCCTCCAGTCTCATGGCCTCCAGTCTCATGGCCTCCAGTCTCATGGCCTCCAGTCTCATGGCCTCCAGTCTCATGGCCTCCAGTCTCATGGCCTCCAGTCTCATGGCCTCCAGTCTCATGGCCTCCAGTCTCATGGCCTCCAGTCTCATGGCCTCCAGTCTCATGGCCTCCAGTCTCATGGCCTCCAGTCTCATGGTCTCCAGTCTCATGGCCTCCAGTCTCATGGCCTCCAGTCTCATGGCCTCCAGTCTCATGGCCTCCAGTCTCATGGCCTCCAGTCTCATGGCCTCCAGTCTCATGGCCTCCAGTCTCATGGCCTCCAGTCTCATGGCCTCCAGTCTCATGGCCTCCAGTCTCATGGCCTCCAGTCTCATGGCCTCCAGTCTCATGGCCTCCAGTCTCATGGCCTCCAGTCTCATGGCCTCCAGTCTCATGGCCTCCAGTCTCATGGCCTCCAGTCTCATGGCCTCCAGTCTCATGGCCTCCAGTCTCATGGCCTCCAGTCTCATGGCCTCCAGTCTCATGGCCTCCAGTCTCATGGCCTCCAGTCTCTGGCCTCCAGTCTCTGGCCTCCAGTCTCTGGCCTCCAGTCTCTGGCCTCCAGTCTCTGGCCTCCAGTCTCTGGCCTCCAGTCTCTGGCCTCCAGTCTCTGGCCTCCAGTCTCTGGCCTCCAGTCTCTGGCTTCCAGTCTCTGGCCTCCAGTCGCTGCCCCTGTCTCTGCGTTAGTCCTGGTCTTTTCTATTTTTTCCCATAACAAAACTCTATTATATATATTAAAAACAGGCATCACTCCATCAGAAAACTCTCACACACACACACAGCTCCCCCTGTAGCCTCTCCTCAGTCACTACAACACTCCACTCCCCCACTCTCTCCTGTATTTCATCTGCTGCTCTTAATCACACCATTTTTCTTGGGCAAATCTTCATCACGGCTCACAATGCGGCCGCTATAGAGCCGCTGCCGCTTGGGAGTCATTTATCAAACCACAAATGCATTATTCAGCAGGAGGCGAGAGACTGAGAAGATCAGTTTATACATATATAGAGGACATAAACACAGACCGCACTATAGAGCAGACAGAAGATATAAGGGGTAGTATAAATGCATTGGACTAAACAATTGTCGAGAAAAGTCGTATTGAGAGATCTAAATGGAGCTGCAGCAGTGGCCAGCGCGCAGTGGCAAGAGCCTGGGTTGAAGTTTGCATGTTCTCATGTCTGTGTAGGCTACAATTCAGCTAAATTAACCCATATAAGTGGATTGTGGAGCCAGGACTACACCAGGACTAAATTAGTACTAGACCAGGTCTAAATCAGGACTAAACCAGGACTGAAGCAGGACTAAAGCAGAACTAAAGCAGGTCTAAAGCAGGACTAAAGCAGCACTAAATCAGGACTAAACAAGTAAGTAAGTAAGTATTGTTTATTTATGTAGCGCATTTTATAGACCAAGGTCACCCAACGCGCTTTACAATGTTCAGAGTTCAGATATTGTTCCAATCATTCCACACACAGTGATGACGGAGGCAAATCGCCAAACAAACTGGCACATCAAAGCCCGAAATCAACACCAGACCGGACACGGGGAGAACATGCAAACTCCACTCAGAAAGGCCCTGTTCCAACCGGGATTCGAACCCAGGACCTTATTGCTGAGCAGTGAAGGTGCTATCCACTCAGCCACTGTGCCGCCATGAATGAAGGAGGACAAAACCAGGACTAAACCAGGTCTAGATCAGGACTAAACCAGGACTAAAACAGGTCTAAAGCAGGTCTAAAGCACAACTCAGGTCCGACTCCACTGGCTGCGTAAAACGTACTACGTATCCGTCCAAACGTGTCCGTTTCATCTCAGTTTCCGTTTTCTCCATGAGGGTGAATGGAAGTGCCTCCACTGCCCGCGACATGCGACGCGGACGGACGAAATAGAAACAATCTTATTTTTTACATCCGTCGACGCGTGTCTGGTCCGTATGTATACCACATTATTATTGATATATGCTGTAGTCCTTGGTTATAAGTGTTTGTTAATGACGATGATTATTAACAAACGTGTGTAATTTATTTTACAATCTTTAAATACACCTCGCTCTTTTTGCTCTCGCTCTGCCCCCGTCTACCTCCGAGGCGTGTTCTCGTCACCGCTGCGCGCTCCCACACACATACCACAGACCACACACACACACACACACACACACACACACAAACTACCCACAGAGCTACTGCACTTATGAGAGACATATCTCACAAAACTGGATATGGAGTTCTTTTCTCTCTCCCCTTTTTTCAATTGCTTTCAATAAGTTTTGCCTCATCCATCGCGACGTCCTCGATGCTTCAATATGCCGTGCTTTGCATAGATCATAGCCACAGCTCATGCAAATCATACACCGCTTCTTCTATTTAAAACAAAGCCTCACGGGGTGCGGATAAACGCACAGCCAGAGCTGCGCGCTGCTGAAGCCGGTGTGGCCACAATTCCGTTTTACGGACGTCTGATGGGCAGCAGCCTACGCGCGTAAACGGAGACGCTGCCGGTGGAGTCCAGCACTAAAGCTGGTCTAAAGCAGGAGTAAAGGAGGCCTAAAGCATGTCTGATTACGGACTAAAATAGGACTAAATAGTACTAACCCAGGATCTAACCAAAACATGTTTTATCTTATAAAAATTTGACCTTGGAAGCAGTATATTGACGAAGACGACATCTCCAAACTCCATCAGAAACCGCTCTTTATCCAAGACCTGATTCCAGAGCGACCTGTGCCTGGATTGGTCTGTTTCGGTCTGGTTTGGTCACACTTCTGCCTAATGGAAAACACTGCGTTCTTCACAGCAATAAAACCTAATCAAAACTGACTGGGCGCAGGTAAAGGCACAGATCCACAGGCCAACCGTGACCGGGAGGAAATTTACTTCAAAACCGTGACACAAAACAGGAAATCAAGGTCTATTTTAAACACGGGACAGTAAATTACCCAGGCTTTTACAATGACGACTGTGTGATTGGGATTAGGAATGGTTTGAATGAGATAGAAGGAGGTGATGGCATCGTTCCACAAGAATATAACAAGAGGAAAGGCCATCGGGGAGACAGGTGAAAGTTGGAAACTTTTATATTTTTCAAAAGGTAATATATTTCTGTAATACGATTTAAGATTATAGACTGTATATGAGAAGTGGACTGACAGAGTGTGACGTCAACATAGCTTTAATGTGGAAGAGGCTGATTTTAACATGAAGAGAGGGGAGAGAAAGGAGGAGAAAGAGAGAGAGGACATTGGCTAGCTGGAGCCAATTTCCTTATATGGGCATTCATATACTGTAAGGTGGGGGCAGCAGAGGCTCAGTTGGTAGAGCATTGGCCTTTGGGCCTGAAGGTTGTGGGTACGAGCCCACCACAAGACCTACTTCACACCTCCCACTGTCGTTGTGGCCTTGGGGAAGACATTTAACCCCGCTTTGCCTGAAGCCCACGCTGATAGATAGATAGATACTTTATTGATCCCCGTAGGAGAAATTCAGGTGTCCAGTAGCCAAAAAAAAACAAACAAAACAGATAATTCTAAAAAGATAACAATAGTAATAATCAGCAACAGCCCTTCAGGTCACAGTAGCAGAGATGGAGAAGCCTTTGGGTGCAGCAGGACGAGTCACAGCAGCAGATGTGGAGTAACCACTGGGTGGAGCAGGACGGGTCACAGCAGCAGAGATGGAGTAGCCTATGGGTGGAGCAGGACGGGTCACAGCAGCGGAGATGGAGTAGCCTATAGGTGGAGCAGGACGGGTCACAGCAGCAGATGTGGAGTAGCCGCAGAGTGGAGCAGGACGGGGCACATTAGCATGGGTGGAGTAGCCTCTGAGTGGAGCAGGACAGCTCACAGCAGCAGAGGTGGAGTAGCCGCTGGGTGGAGTAGGACGGGTCAAAAGGTGGAGTGGCCGCTTGGTTCGGACCATTTTCTCTGCTCTAGTCCAAAGTAAAATGCTAAATGCATTTAGCATTTAGTTAGCATTCCTCCAGTGGATTTTTGGCTGATCCGCTTGGTTCGGACCATGAATCCTCTCCGCTCCAGTCTGGACCAGTGCAAAACCATGAACACTGTACTGCAGCAAAATCTCAAGTAGAAAAAAAGCACAAAAAATAAAAATTGTAAAGCACAAAACAACAACCGTTTCAGAACTACTTAGGACTTGCTGCCGTTTTCCCGCGCATTCAAAAGTAAACATCAAGGCTCCTGTGCACCACCTGCAGTGAGGGTGTTCTGTGATTTGGGTGCAGCCAACCGACTGCCACCCCATGACCCAGAAATGGATTAAGGGGAAGAAAATGAATGGATGGATGGCATTCACATTGGCAGACTCGTTGCTAACTTGGTTGCTAAGACAAGCTGGAGTTTCCGCCGTGAATTCATCATTATTTGGCCCATATCTGGATTTACATAGACAATATCACAATTTAATACCAGGACCACAGAGAGCACTAAAAACCCCAAAATATGAGTGTGACACAAACGGTTACTGAGCTAGAGGAGTCGAGCCAACACAAAACCTAACCAGGAGCACTTCCCTATTGGGCGTCATTGAGCTAGCGGGTTAGCCTTGTCCATCTGTATACAGTCCACACAGAGAGGCCCCTGAACTCCATGGCTGTGTCCAAAACGGTAGGCATCTTCCCTACGAAGGCATGGTTTGTTGGCATCGTGGCGTCACATCAGCATGCGCCGGGCACTACAGGGGTGTCCAAAACCATTTGGCATATATGGTAAGTACTGCTATGCTTTACTGTTGAGCTATGAACACGACTGTAATGACAAAACACAGGCATAAGTTAGATCTGCCACGGACGTGCGTTTTAAACCTTTTTATCTGCTGTGATAAAAAAGAAAAATCATATTGTGTTTTCTCTTTAGGGTGAAACAAACCCACAGATTAAATATTAAAGCTGCACTGAGGAAACAGTCACGTTTTCATGGAAAATCCCTCAACAGTTCATGGAGATAGCAGCTAAAGTATGCTAACATGTGTTTTCTGCAGTAATATAAGATTGATTGTGTATATCATTTTTAATCCCATACTGAGACTGGGAATACTGTATATTTATTTACAATTACTGTATATATTAGACATGACATTATAGAATCGGCCAAGGCTAATTATTAAGCACGTTTTATACAATAGTCTGACAAAATTTACAGATGGTATGACAATATAAAAGCACATTATACGTTTCTTTTGTCATTAATAAAAGACATTTGCAGATGACATGCTTCTAAATTGGTTATTTGTGTGTATATTTCTATTCTCCAGTTACTCCTCAGATCATCTGTTTCACCTGCTGTGAAAGCTTGTACCTCTAATATCAAATACAGGAAGGATTTCTGTATTTTATTTTTAACCAGTTTATTGCAATTTGAAAGAAGCAAGGCCCCTAATATCTAGTAATAATTGAATATGAAGTGTGAAAAAAAAATCCCAAATGTGTGGTCTCCATGTTTTAATATGATGTTTGTGTGTTCTTCTTTTTCAGAGACTTCTGGTTA